TATATATATATTTATAATCTTCTGCGCTTAGAGCATCCTTCTCGCAATTTGCTTCCTTAAATTCGATGCCCAGCATAGATTTGCCTCTAAGAAACCAAGCAATTGTTCCTTTAAGCTCTTCGTGACCCAACTTTTTGACTAACTCCTAAAAAGTACTTTTAAGCATTAGGCCACTGACATGCAAACTTCGTCCGATTATAATCGAGGGCAGTCAATTGAAGGCCTCATCAACATTTTGATTCTTATAGTAACGCTTCAAATTTTTAGATTTCCCCCCTTGTCCTTAGCGTAATGTCCATTCTGCTCGCAGATTATATTGAGGGTATACCAAATTTAGTTGTACATTTTGGTATTCCAGTTATCTTGTTGTTAACCGAATGGCATTGATGTGTTCCTCTTTAACATTTTGGCGAGTACGAATTTTAATCAGGATCGAAAGTCTGGAAACGCAGTAGTTCTCTGTCCCAAGCATGAATTACGTCACAAATAAGAGAAGACGAATCAGGTTATTTTCGCGATTTCATCTTCTTCTATACGGTTTTCTTAATTAAATGGCTGCTCCAATTAACCACAGCACACTGTACTTGGTTAATGCCCATCTAGCACTGGATGAATATTTGATTGAGTCAATCGAGATACTGCATGAATCGATGTTGAAAAGTATTTATGTTTAAGTTTATAAAGAGCGAGGCAATGTACTAGGTCCTAAAAGGGTTTAGCTCTTAAAGACAGGCAAATTCTGAATGGTATCCGGAGTTTCAACATAAATTCACTTATTAGTTGTTTAACCTTGTCTGCGCAAATTGGTCATATCGGTAGGAAGACTTAGAGAACCCCACCTAGTCCGGAGTCCATTGTATGCATGATCATTTCCAAAGTCGGACCGTGGACGTGGTACATTCACAGACGTTTCGCCGGCATCGTCAGTGAGTGTCGCCATTCTTAGCACCCCACAACAACTCGTCAAAGAGACAAGTGAAGCCGATAATTTGATCAATTGTCTGCTGCACAATCGTGGCATCTCGCCTTCTGACCTAGGCAATTCAACTCTCATATATCTTCGTATCACACCTTGATTATCACATTTTTTCCTTGCTTATTTAAATGTAGTGTGTTGTGCCCTTTAGAGCGGCTTTCATGAGAACCCTTCACACTCCATGCTGGCGTTCTCACCCCCTAGCATCCGTCTGCCACTCCATCTGTGCTCCACGAGGCTTTATTTCCCACGCTCTGCTCCTACTTGAGGCTAAAGACGCCGAGTAATTGTCATGGCCAAGCCTTTGCTTCATGGACCACGCATATAGTAAAACAGGCCTACTCTCAGCCAACTAGCTCCTGTCTCTGCCGCATCTATCCTGCTTCTAAGCCTAATAATAAGTCTATAGGAAATAACGCTTCGAGTAGCATAGATGAGGTGACAGGGGTCAAGTGAAATACTTGAACCAGAGAGATAGCAGACGGATTCTAGGGGGCAAAAGGGAGATGCTGATAAGAGCTAGAGGAGGACAGCATAACAATTGGGCAGACTATGAATAACATTCCCAGCACAAGGGTGAAGGTTGGTGAGAACGCCAGTGTGGAGTGTGGAGGGTTCTCATGAAAGCCGCTCAAAAGGACATACCAAATCTAAGTGAGGATTAAATACAATAAATCTGAATCAGATAAAAGCAGATCGTGAAAAGCCCAAACAGCAAGAGTCTAGAATAGATTGCGCTAAGAAAAAAAGGGAATCAGGCAATTAAGGTGAGCCACAACATTGCTGGCCAATTATCTCGTTCTAATTTAGGAAGTCTCCGTACATTAAACACATTTCCAAAACTTTAATATTTTTAAATAAAGGCCACTTATGAATGCCTCTGCTCTGAATCCTCCTGTTCTTTACATCATCTATCGTCCTCAGGACAGGCCCTACTGTAACACTCGTTTCAGTTGAATCCTTTCTCTACCAAGCACTAAGAACAACCAACCAACTATTCTGATAAATCACTCTAACCATTTATTATAGATATATGATATGTGTTCATCCTATTTCGTTTAAGATGAGGGAAGTCATGTAATGGAATTTTATCACGATGATATGAGCAGAGCTGGTGTTTTCCAGTGAAATTTACATAGCTTTGCTTTCCCAAAAGGTGTTCTGATCCAGGGTGGACTGCAGTTTCAATCTCTTATAGGTCCTATCAACAACCCAAGCAGGAGTCGAGCCATGACAGTGCAGAGTGTAGTCTCGGCACATTAACCAGTACCCCACATTGCCACGAGTGCCCTTGGGTCACAGAGCAGATGTGCATTTCAAGGAAACGTCAGGTATTTTCCATATCACATTCAGTGTAGAGATTGTCGATGAAGTAAGCTTATATTTGCTATAGCAATTAGTGACATTACTTTTTTCCTAAATAAGTAGGTTTTCGAGACTACCGGTAAATCAGATGTATGAATTGTGTATCTAATATAGACTACTCTCCATTATTAGAAAAGCATATTAGAATTGTAAACGACCGATAGGGAGAAGGAAAAAGCATTAATAGGAGCAAGCAATAACAAAATGGAATAAAGCGAGATGAGGACAAATAGAATGGAACTTGATACAACGCCAAGGAAGTGGGTGAAAAAAATAAAGAAGACAAAAATTCTAGCTAAGAATAGAAAATACTACATTGGCTTTACAATTTGCCTGAGCTGAAATATTATGCAATAAAAACCAGTCAGTTTATAAAAGGTCCACGTGCATGTGTCTATATGCGAAAACTGGTGCTGAGCCAAAAAAAAGAATCTAATCTAAAGCCCATGAAAAGGGTATGGAGGCGTAAGTAGCTTCGATAAATAAAAAGCTCACCAGCTCGAGACCGTCTCTGTAAGCCGCAAGGAGTGCCATCAAGATCGGAGAAGCTATCAAGTGGTGATTCGCCATGCGACACAGTCGATTCGTGTGGCATCAGCATACTAGGGGCTCTGAACATGTAGCAGAGTGGATAGTGGATCAAATTCATACAGGAGAAAGAATAGAGATCTGCGTAGCGAAGCGCCTGCGATGAGAAGAAAGTATGTCTTGAGCCTGACGCCCGAGAGTAGTAGTTTGGCAAAGATAGTAAAAAGTATAGGGTACAAGCATACATTCACGATAAGAGCATGCAAAGCAAAAATACCCGTTAATGAATGGTGCAATGATATGCCCAAAAATGTTATTAAAAGGACGAGTCATTCCTGAAGTATTTAACAAAACTGGCTAGAAAATGCTTGCATATAGCACTGAATAACCATACACGAAGAAAAGTTGGGTTTCGAGGAATCTCTTGCTTCATAATTGTTGAGCTTACTTCCACTCGAAATGGATGTAAACTCAACTGCATAACCACCCTCAGCATGGATGAAAGTCGATTTCCTGATGAGAAATATTAGTTTGCGTAAGTCTTTTTTAGAGAGAGATTCGAATCTGATCGAGGACAAAAAGGTATGGGTACGGAAGCAATAATAAATGTGATATGCAAAACATGATATTAAAAATAGCTAGAATAAAAAAAAAAGTTTAATCGAAAGAGTGAGACGAAGATGTGGCTTTTTCTACGGTCGCAATCTTCTTTCGTCGAAAAGAAGTTGTTTGAATAAGATATGAAGACCAGGATGGCGTGGCCCTTTGTATCGTCGCGGTTTCCTTTCGTTGTTAGAAGTTGTTTGACCTTGCTTTAGCAACTTGGTCATATTGGCAGGAAGAACTAGAGTAACACACCTAGCCCGGAGTTCATAGTATGCATGATGATTTCAAAAATTGAAACGTGGACTTGGTACATTCCCATGTTTCACAGGCATCGTAGTCAGCATCGTCCATGAACCTTGCCATTCTGAGCACCACACTACAACCCGTCAGAGACAGGTAAAGTCAATCCTTTGACCAATTGTCTACCGAACAGTTGTTTAATTTATCTGGTTCTGGGCTATTCACCTTTCATATATTCTCTTATCACAGGTTAAATATCACAATTTCTTATTTGTTTATCTAAACTTATTTGAAACCTGTTCACACTCCCCGCTGGCCACATATCCCTTCTACTGTTGATCCAAGGCCCCGATTTATTCCGTAATCCTCTTCCTTCTGGTCCTATCAGAGTCCCCAAAAGCTGATAGCTCTGCCTGATTTAAATAGGCTCACTGTTGACATCTTCTTGTGATTTCTGATTGTACCTCTCTGGTCTACTTGCAATTTCTTTACCTAAAATTAAAAATAGTATCTTTGTCAAGTATTTTCTTTTGCTGTCATTGCTGTTGCTTCATCTTATCCGAGTTTGTTTAGACATTATGCAAAGTTTTATATACTCCTGCCTTCTTCAAGCCTCCGGTTCATCAGATTTCTTTCAATCAGGATATCGATGGCTTCTCGGGTCTATCGTCGTCTCATATTTCCACAATATGCAGCTAGCCGTTCTGTTGATTTTCATTCGATTTAGTGTCCCATCCGTGGATGTGTACAACTATATTTCGTATCTTTCAGCAGAATCTTTGGTGTTCCTTAATTCGTAGGCTGATTTTTATTCCTATTTCACTAATACACTTCTGTTCAGTTGCCGCATTTGATGCTATAGACTCCTGCGTAATCATATTCTTCAAATTTCTCGTATTGCGTTGGCAGGCTGGTGGAGAGTGCTATCTTTTATTTTGTTCACACCTTTCCATTTTTAGCAACGGTCGCAATTTTGGGCCCAGTTCACAGGACAGGCATGTCGATTTTTTGTCGTTCTCCACATTCATGATCTTATCTTCATAAATCCCAGTTGTAATCTGCACTTTATGATTGCTATATTTCTTACTATAAATTCTTTAGTCTCGAGTAGCCCGGATACTATCGCAGCGATTAAGTGGGGCCAGTGAAACAGGCAGAAAAGGTAAGGAGCCTAGGAAGCAAGAAGGGACTCTGATAGGACCCGAAGGGAGAGAATTGTAATTCAGCAATCCCGATACACTGGAAAAGATAAAAGAACCAGAGGAGACTGTGAATAGGTGAATATATATATATATATA